AAAAAAAAAAAAAAAAAAAAAAAAGAAAGAAAGAAAGAAAAAGAGAATTAGCAAATGTCTTGTTCACTTTTGTTTGAGTGACTGCAAAGTATTTCTTAAGAAAATCCAACAACTCTCCTGACACCCACCATTGTATTTAATGTTTTTGCATCCACACACCTCTTTGAAGATATAATATAAAAATAAATTTCCCCCACCTCTACACTTTTTCACTCAGCAAGAATTTTCCAAATGAAAGGTGTGTGTTGCCATGTAAATTTCTTGACTAGTCGGGAACATTCCATCCCATAAATGGTCCTGGTTCTTTTCCACTTTCTGTTAACAATTCAAAGTAACTTTTTTTTTTTTGTAGCAGTGATTCAACCCAGGTTCTGGTGTGCTTCCTAAGCACGTGCTCCACCACTGAACCCTAACCCTATTTATTTATTTATTTATTTATTTATTTATGCTTTTTTGAAACAGGATCTCACCCTGTGATCCAGTCTGGCCTGGAATTTGCAATCTTCTGCCTCAGAAGAAGGTGGAAATTCCAGCCTCCTGAGTGCTGGGATTATAGGTGTGCATCACCTATATTCAGCCCCTATTTTCTTAAGCATTCTTCACTAACATTATTTTACATCGAGTAATATCCCATTCTATGAAAGTGTCATAGTTTACCTAACCTAGTCCCAGGCTTTTAGATGTTTAAATTATTTATAGTTTGAAGCAAAGTACACAATGCTGGGATGAACCCTTTGACACATGAGGGTTTCTCTGCATTAGACTTCTTTAGGATGGATTCTCAGTTATAGGAATGTCTGCAAGTTTGCATATTTTTAAGAGTTTTCCAGAAGATTGCTCTAGCAAAATATATCGTTATACTAACTGCCGCATGTATAATGAAAGCCCCACTTTACTGCTATTAATCTGTAAGGCAAGCTTGCTTGCCGTGTAGCTAGCTGTCCACATCCTGCCTGATGTCAGTTAGTCTGTAGTCCTGAGATCAGCCTTTCATCCCAGTGCTGTGCTGGGTGGATTGATCATCCTGTCCTTGGCTCCCTAGAGCAAGAGGAGGCTGAGCTGAAGGAGTTCCTGTGCCCTGTAAAAACGCCCACTGGGCTTGTTGGTGCTGCAGCTGCCCTGCAGCCTGTCCCTGCCATGCCCTTGGGCCTTCAGAACATCTCCATCAAGCACTTGGGAACTGAAATCCAGTAAGTGCCAGTGGGCTTGAGGGGCTGACCAAGCTCCCTGCCACCCTCTCTGCAGAGCTTCACCTGGTGCTGTTCTGCAGCAGGGTGGAACTTGGGAGAAGTTATGAACTTATTTTTAATTAATCATGTTATCCCTTTAAAATGTCACATTGGTTGTTCTCATCAGAAAAGTATTGCTTGTTCATTGTAGGAAATTAGAAATCTCTGGAAAGGAATGAATTAAAAATTACCCATAATCCAGGCAAACCTTCTTAGAAATTGGTATATATCTTTCCTCTACATTTTCTATGTACAGTGGTACCTCAGTTCATGAATTTAATTTGTTTTACAGTTTTGGGAAAGATGGTGATGTTTGTGTTTGTGTGGGAAAGATGGCTGTGGTTGTGTTTGTCACCCAGTGCAGAATTTGCAAACAAAATTTTACCAAGCAGTTCTGTTTGCAAGCCAAATTGTTTGTAAACAAAAGCATTTGTGAACCAAGGTGCCACTGTACATGTATGCAAAATTGACATCATACTGAATGGAATGGAATTATGATGGTTTCACAAATGTCTATATATATATCAAACACATCAAATCACTCACTTTCACTTTTACCATGTGTGATTTATTGTATTTTAATTATGTGTCAATTACTTTTTCATTTAATAATGTATAATACAAATTTCCCATTGTCAGGCTTTGTTTTAAATAGTACATGAAAAAGAATAGTGTGGCCTTGACTTTAGAGCCAAATTGCCTAAGTTTGGATCCTGGCTTAGTCCAGGGCTGTGCTACCCTTGGCACGTTGTTTGCTTCTCTGTGTTTTACTTGTTCGTGAATATAAATACAATTGTGCTTATCTGATAAGGTTATCTAGAGCTATATGGGTGAATACTTTAGAATGTGCTTGATAATCACACACATGTAACAAATACTAGCTATGGCTGCCATTGTTGCTCTGATTGAGAGAATGAATGGAAACCTTCAGGAATTCAAGCTATACCCAACACTGATCCTGTTTGGGTATTTATTTTCTGTGTGGACTTGGGACAAACTGGGACCTCTTAGAAGGCAGAATACACTGCTCACTGGACTAGCATTAGGGACCCATGGCTGCATGTGACTCAGGCACAGTATATCTCAGTATATGCTGGCTTTGGTGACTAGGAAGGTGGTGATGCCTTTCCCCAAGAAAGAAGCAGGAAGATGAGTTTCCTTTGGGCCCTCCTACCCCATAGGTATTTGGATGGAGAAGCCTAAAGTCCTCTATTGAGAGAGAACTAAGTTGGGAGGATGAGTGTGAAACATGGTTGAATCCCCCAGAGGGTGAGTGGACAAAGAGGACCCATGGCAGGGGCTCAGCCCTTTGGAGGAGCTCAGGAGAGCTGGATGCACTGAGAATACGCTGAGGGGAAGAGGGGGCCTGAGAAGCTCAGCCATCTGGCCAGCAAGCACCCAGGGAGCGCTCACCAGGATGGAGCCGGGTTCGTGCCTGACAGGACACAGCCACAGAAGTGGAACAGAGAATGTGCTGAGACCAAGAAAGGAAGGAAGTTTCATAGCATCACTGTGTCACTTCCTTTCTGTCATTTGTGATGGCCACAGAAGATGTGAGGCAACATCACAAGAGAAGTGCCCTGAGTTGCTGCATGTCTCAGGAGAGCATGGGGAGACCACAGCTGCCCCCGTTCCCCACACTCCTTTGCTGTTTTGCTGCCCTGCAGACAGATCATCCTCAGGAAAGATGTAAGGAACCTCCTGAGCACTGTGCCAGATGCTTTGTACTGTCCTTGAGGTGTCAGAAAAAGTCTGTGAGGTAGAGTCCATCACATGGTCAAGCTCTCAAGCCATGAAGTTAGATACCCAGTTCTGATCCTCAGTCCCACCACTTACCAGTTCCCTGGTTTGGTTAATTAGCTTCTCAGAATCTCAGTTCGGCTCTCTGTCCAGTGGGGCTAATGAGAGCACTTACTTCACTGAGCAGTTGTGAAGATGAAATAAATAGAATGCATTATAGTGTTTATCTTAGAAGTTGGACCAGGGAAAGGCCCACGTAGATCAATTGCAAATGAGGAAACTGAGGCTCAGGGAAGATAACTGGGTTTCCCAGTGTTATCCCTCCAGAACATGTCTTTGTGACAGTCACCTCTATGCGGACTAGGCCTCCCAGAATTAAGCTAACCCTGCTCAGAAAAAATGGTCTCTGAATTGCTTCCAATAAAGACGATAAATTTATAAAACAGAGAAGCAGTCTTCTAAATACAGCAGCTTAGCTGAGTGGCAGTGGTCTGGACTGTGTTCCAGCTTCCTATCCTGGGGGAGATAAATATGTGCCAGGGCTTACAAGGCCCTTTGCTGCACTGAAGTTGGGGTTTCTATGCCCTTCCATGCTCCAGGGATGACTGGTCATAAGCCCAGGAACATGTTGAGAGGCTAAAGTTCCTGGTAAGGGGGAAGTGTGAGCAGCAGTGACAGTCACCTCACCCAGCCAGTGCCTCTGGCTATAGTTATAGGTTCCTCTACATTACATATGGCTGTGGTTTGTGAAATTGTGTTAACAGGCTTAGCACAGGATTCAGCACAAAATGATGCTCAGTAGCTGGGTGTTGTGGTGCACTCCTATAATCGCAGCTCTTGAAAGGAGGATCATTGGAGGATCATTGTGAGTTTGAGGCTAGCCTGGGCTACATAGTGAGTTCGATGCCAGCCTGGACTACCCAGTAAGACCCTGTCTCAGAAACAAATGATACTCAGTAAGTACTCCTGCCCATCATGCTCAGTGTTGTTCTTTCTTTCCCACATGCCCACCATTGTAAGAGCAAAGAAGGGAAAAGTAAGAACTAAGAAGGGAAAGTGACTAGCCCAGGGAGCCAGAGGCCCTTACAATAGGACCATAGTAATAATAAAGCAAAAGGGATTAGAGAGCGAAATTCCAAGGCCAGGTATTAGTAGTACTAAATTTGTATTTCTTCTCTGCTCTTAATTTAGCTAATTTTTTTTGCTTGTTTTGCTTTATACTGGGGATCGAACTCGGGTCATTGCCCTTGCGAGGCAGGCGGTGGAACCACTGAGCTAAATCCCCAGCCCTATAACTAATTAATTTTCCTTCCACCAGTCCATAAAAGTACAGTCTCATTCTTTTTTTTTTCTTGTGCACTCAGCTCTACCAAAACACCTAGAATATTTAAAAACGAAGTTTCAGACCAAATATTGACATTTAACTAGATTTCTTTTTAAAGGAGAAAATGCAAATTACTAAAGTCAGGAACAAAACAAGAGGCATTGCTACCAACCTTACAGAAGTGAAAAGGACTGTAAAAACTATAAGGGAATGCTATCAACAACCATATAACAACAAATTTGATAAGTTAGATGAAATAGACAAATTCCTAGAAAGATACAAGTTACTTGTATCTAGAAATAGAAAATTGGAATAGACTTAGTAAATAATAAAGAAATTGAATTAGCAACTAAAAAGCTTAGGGCATCTGGCTTTACAGATGAATTCTACCAAACATCTAAAGAAGAAGGAAAAGGACTGCACTGTCATGCACGTGTAGGGTGGGAGTGAATATTTGCTGAACATCTATCAAATCTGTTCATTCATGTTACCTTTTACTCTTGCTTGAGTTTCATGTCCTTTTTCATGTTTAGTTCCTGGGGGTTTCCTTTCCTTTGCTGGAACTTTAACTAGGTGTCTTAAAACTATGTTTTGTATTTATCCAGCATCTAAGAGTTTGTGGAATATTTGTCCATCTTATTGCTGATGGTACGTATTGAAAATAGAAGTAATATAACAAAGCTGGGGCTTTAACACAGGTCTGAAGACTTTCATATCCCCCTTTTGGGTCACACTACTGTTGCCCTTAAGTAAATCCTCTCCTACTGCAGTATGTTTTGAACTATTGATCATGATCACAATAAGAAATGTACTTTTGTTATAGCTCATTGAACATATATGTAATTCAGAAAACATTGACCCTAGCTAGGTGGAATGTACTCTGATATTTTCTGCTGTTTTGTTTTGTTTTTTGAGACAGGGTCTTGCTATGTAGTTCAGACAGCCTTAAACTCATTATTGTAGCCTAGGCTCTCCTTGAACTCATGGTGATCTCCCACCTCAACCTCCCACATGCTGGAATTACAGGCATGTGCCACCATGCCCAGCTCTCTGCTTATTTTTTAAATGGTGCTCACAACACTGAACAAATTTTATAATCCTCCCAATGGGCTACAACCTGCTGTTTGAAACAACTGACCTAGAAAATTCCTTTCTTCTTTTCTTCCCTGCTGTTAATTTCATAATGAGTGTGCTCTTACTTCTTTGCAAGGGAAAAAATCAACTCAAGTGAGCTGTCTTTCCATCTGGCCCATCTGTGGTGTGTGCTTTTGGGCCAGTCTTTGGTGCTCCCTGGTTACTTTCTGTATTGAGCCTGGATTCTGGACACACCCAGCCCAGGTCCAGGTACTCAGAACCCAGTTCTTGAAGAAATGACACTATGAGGCTCAGCCTAAATAAGTATTTGAACAAGCATGAGGTATAGTAAGCTCTTTAGAAGCTGTGAGGTCTGCAGAGAGGACAGATCTGAGTGGGGAAAGAGAGCAAAGGGAGGTGAATGCCACATATCTCAGTGAACTGGGAGTCACTGATAATTCTGGAGCCAGATAGTTGCAAGCCCAGATGAAGGTTATAGGAACTGTATTTTGGCAGGTCCATTCAATATTTGTTCAATATATATGTGTGAAGTACCTCCTGTATCTCAGGCACTGTTCTAAGTATGCTAGATCTATCAGTGAACAGAAGGATATTTCAGCAGCAGGGCTAGGTGGTGGGAGAGTCAAGCTGATGACAGCAATGGAGTTGTGGAAGGGGCTAAGAGAAAGAGGAAGGCCTGAAGGCCTGGGGTAGCGTGTGTTTTTGGATGTGTCATGCAGGTTCCTGGGGCATCCCCCTGATGTGAGGCCTGAGCTCCAGCAGGGAGGGCAGAGGGGCTGTCAGCTCACACTCCTCACTTCTCCTTTCAGAAACACTATGCACACCATCCGTGGCAGTAAGCACACCCAAGGAACCAGCCTTGGACTTCTCATGGAAGAGTCTCCGCTGAGTGGGGAGCAGCCCTCGACCCCTGACTCCAGCGCCCCAGGTGAGCCTCTGACCAGATCTGAGCGGCTTTCAGAGAGCAGGGCCCCTGGGCCAGAATGAGTTCCTGCCAGCCTGCATATGTTTGTGTGTGTGTGTGTGTGTGTGTGTGTGTGTGTGTGTGTGTGTGTGTGTTATTTCTCACCGTCATATGCAGTCAGGGAAGTCCAAGATTAAGGTGCTGATTCCATGTCTCGTAAGGGCCCTCTTCTGGTCTCGCTCACATGGCTCAAAGAGCTCTGATCTCTTCATCTTCTGCTCCCTCCCTGAAGGTCCCACCTTCTAATGCTGTCAGTCTTGGGATTAGGGCTTCAAACAGGAAGGGTGCAGGGGTTCCACAAAACATTCAGTTCTCGGTGATGTGTCAAAGGTGAAACTCTCCACGTCGTTTCTGGGTTTCTAGAGGTTAAGGAGCAATTATTTTTTTACTGTGTTAAAATAAACAAAATTTACTGTTTTACCACTTTTAGGTGTTCATTGTGGTAGCATTGAGTCATTCACATTGTTGTGCAGTGATCACCCCCATCTACCTCCAGAACTTTTTCATCTCCCCAACTGAGCCTCTTAGTAATGATTCTTGAAGTAATAAAGACAAATATTGTTCTCAATTTTTTTCTTTTTTCCTTATATTTTAATTTATAAAGGAAAGGGCATAAAAATGTTTTCCGGAGGTAATTAAGCCAAAACAGCATTTTATTGTTTCGGCCACATGAAGCAATATGACTGACCCACACCATCAGAGTGGCTTCCTAGTGACTGACATAAGTGCTCTTAGGACATGTTTCACTTCAGAAGTATTGGGAGGAATTTGGCTAAGGCAGCACCTAGGTCTTCTTATCACAGACTAAGGGCTCCTTTGGAGCAGTGCTCCTCATGAGGCCCCAGAAATGAGGGTGACCAGCCTACAGGAAGGTCCATCCTGTATCAAAGCAATAATAATAATGATTAAGCTAGCACTTTCATGGTAGTTGCTTTGTGGCTAGGCTACATTAAGCACCTTTTGGGTAATGATTTTATTAAAGCATGATGCATATACTATACCATACCATATAATTCACCCATTTAAAGTGTGTCATCCCATGGATTTCAGTATACCACAGAGCTATGCAGCCATCGCTTGAATCAATTTTGGGATATTTTTATTATCCCAGAAAGAAACCTTGTATCCATGCCTTAACCGTTACGCCCCCACCCCATCACCGCCTCCTACAGCCTATAGCAGCTAGTGACCTGCTGTTTGCGTGAATGTGCCTTCTCCGGTGTTTCCTGTGCGTGCACTCTGTAACATGTGCTCCTTTGTGACTGGTGCCTTTCAGTTAGCAGGGGGTCTTCAGGTTCCATCCTTGCATTTGCTAAGCACTAACCCAAGTTGACCCACTTAATCTTCAGAGCAAATGGCACTGTGGACACTGTTCTCCTTGTTTGATAAATCTGGAAACTGTGTCATGGAAAAGTGGACTGACTTGCTCATGGTCACACAGTGAGCAACAGAACCAGAATTCAAGCTGAGCCTTCTGGCCCCTCACTGCTCCCTGACACCTCATCCAAGTCAGTGCTTTTCTTCAAACTACAGATACTCCCAACTCACAATGACTCAACCATTGTGAAATTTTCATCTTTACAGCAGTGCTAAAGCAATGTGAAATCAGTGAAAACTTTACCTTGAATTTCAGGGTTTTTTTCTGATACTGAGGATCAAACCCAGGGCTTCATTATGCTCTTCAAGTACTGTACCACTGAACTACTCTCCCAACCGAGGAATTTTGAATTTGGATGGTTTCTTAGGCTTTTGAAGTTTATGACACTCTCTCTGGATGTCGGGCAGCAGCAGCAAGCTGCAGCTCCCAGTCAGTCACCTTGGTCATGAGGGGAAACAACCAAAGTGCATTGTAGTGCCGAGCCAGGATACTCGGTGAGGTGTAGGTGAGGTGTAGGTGAGGTGAACTAAATCCTTTTTCCATTTATGCTATTTTCAACTTAAAATGAGTTTATCAGGAAGTAACCCTGGCATAAATTGAGGAGCATTTGTATATCTTTACTGTCCTGACACCTTGTCCCCCATTCCCAACACACACTAATCTAATATACGAAGCAGGCAGAAGCAGAGTTGAACAGGTGCAGGAGCCTGGGCTCCTGTGGTCCTCCTGCCCCACCTCACCCTCCTTTCAGCTCTGAACCAGTCCCACCAAATCCTAGTGAACTATCTCAGGCCTTGCTTTCCCCAGCTATCAATGGGCACATGGTCTCTCCCCTATTTGTCCACAGGGTTGGTGGACAGGTGTACGTTCCAAATGCTGCAGGGCTGCTCCCCTGGACCCTATAACAGCAAAGAGGATCAGGCATTGCATTTTTCTGAGCTCCACAGCTAACTCTGTATCTAGTGTAGCTGGATTTCTCAAAGGCCTGGAATAAGGCCAAGAGCTGTGGAGCTTCTGTTACCTGCTGAAGTCATTCCTTATCTGTTCACCCCCAGTCTGCTCTCCAGAAGGAAGACACTGAAGTCATTCAGCCCTTATTTTAAGCCCTCCCTCTCCCCTGTCCTAGGATCCCTCCACATCCTTATTTTTTAGTACTTTTACCACTTATATCCCAGAAGGATGGGTGGTAGTGTACTAAAGTACCTATTGGGGGAAAAAAGTCATTTGAGACAGGAAGTTTAATAGCATCAAGATAAGATGTCAGTGCCTAAAGGTGAGTAGCAAACCAGGTATGGTGACACAAAAGCTGTAATCCCACCACTCTGGGAGAATGAGGCAGGAGGATCACAAGTTTGAGCCAGCCTAGAATACTTCATAATTTAGGGACACTCTATCTCAAAATAAGAAATTTAAAAATTACTGGAGACATAGCTCAATGTGAAGGTCCTGGGTCCAATCCCATGGGGGGAAAAAGTGGGCCACAGATGTGGCTCTGAGTTTCTCAGCAACCAAGGCAAAGGAGAGAAATGCAAGTAGCTAGATTATTTCCAGTGTCCATGAGATTAATCACATATTTTCTTAGAAGAAGCAGAGTTTCTTCTGGCATGCAAGAGGACTGACGGGAATTTCTCTGCTGGGGCCTTGTAATGGGTGTGACAGGTGTGTTTTGTGTGAACAAACATCTTCATGTCCCTTGACTACATAATCAGGCTATTGAATGGCCTTGATGCAGGTGCATGGCAGAGTCCCAGAGCACAGACTGGGGCAGGGTGGGACATGGTAGCCAAGTAGAGTGATTCTCAATGTTGAATTTAAGAATACAGTTTAATGACTTGAAGATAGTGCTTGGCAAGTTTTTCTGTAAAGAACTAGATAGTAAATAGTTGAGACTTGGTGGCCATAGGCTGCAGATATTCAGCTCTTCCTTTGTGAAGTGAGTCAGCAGAATCTTTGATCACCACATGAAATCAAATGGGTGCGATTGTGTTCCAGTAAAACTTCACTTACAAAAAGCAGGCTGTGGACTGGATTTGGTGTGTGAACTGTAGATTGCTGGTGCCTGCTCTTGAAGAAATAAAAGGATGGCAAAGCTCTGAGGCAACCAAAGCTGCCTAACTTTGAAATATGGCTCTTAACTTAGCTGGTAGTAAGAACCAAAGTAAGCCAGGCATGGTGGCACATACCTGTAAACTCAAGCTGGCCTCATTCTCCCGGAATGAGTGCAGCCGGGACACTTTAGCTATTTAGTAAGATCCCATCTCAAAATAAAAAATTCTGGGGATATAACTCAGTGTGAAGACTCTGGGTTCAATCCTTAGTGCCAAAGTAACTAATTAATTCAAATTAAGAGTTTGAGCTACTGCCTGGGGCAAAAATGCAGAATACCAATATGCAGTTCATGCTCTTAGCAACAGATATATCTGCTTTGAAAATCGTCCAGGGCGCAAAAATGGGATCCTCAAATGAGAAATAGCACATCTTACTGAGCTGATGTAGGAGGAGCTGGCCTCCATCAGACCCAGCAGGGTGGGATAAGAGATCCCTGCAGGTCACGTGGGAGGAAGGGCACAGCAGTTTAGGTGACAGGCTGAGTGACTCGGCCAGTACAGTATGGACAGTTCAGTAGATCTCGAAGCATGACCCCTGGACACCATGTGAGCATAAGCTAGGAGCTTTGTAGAAATGCACACTGAAACTGAGTTAAAGCCTGTAAGGGTCGGGTCCAACCATATGTGTGTTAAGAGTCCACCAGGTGATTTGGAAGCAAACTCCTTTGAGACCACTGGTGTCGATCATAAGCCCAGCATCTTTTCTTTTGAGCAGGGAGCGAAGCAGCAGATTCTCCAAAGCCTGCACCCAAGTTCTCTCTGCCTGCCAGTCTCCCGCAGAAGAACAAGCGCCAGAGCAACACTTTCCCATTCTTTTCCGAAGGGCTGGTGCGTAACCGGACAGCTCAAGAGAAGGTGGTGGCCTTGGAGCAGCAGGTGTTGTTGCTCACCGAAGAGTTAAAGTCACAGAAGGTGAGCACTAGCCTCTCCCTGGAGCCCCCAGGCTGCAGGAGGCCCCCTAGGCTTAAAGCCCTGTACATAGCTCTGTGTGACATACCAACCTATCTGGTTCAGGCTGGTCTGGAGTTGTTAAAGGGCCAACTGCAAATTGGAAATGTGCTATTGATTATTCAGGGGCATGTTCAAACTAGGGGCAAAAGGCCATCAAGGGCAGGAGTCTCTGGAGACCTCCTTTAATAATTGTGTCATCAACCCGTCCTGGAAAAAACACTCAAAGAGGCAATATTTATAGCAGGGATCTGGATGCAGGGTCTTGGGAGGGGTTGCTGATGGAAGTGGGGGATCTTGAACGTGGCTTGGCAGCTGATCATTGGGTGCAGATAGCTAAAGGACTATCACAAGACAGAGAAAGTTGAATGGGTGTGGCCCCAGGGCTGAGGCAAAAGAACACTGATGGGTTCGGGAATTTAGACTTAATAAAGGAAGTTTACTTTAGGAGTTACAGAACTGCTTCCTGGTCATTGTTGAAAACAGATCTTACATACCCAGAGATGTTAAAATTATTTAAAAATCCTATAACCCAGAGAGTGAATTGTGTTCACTCAAGGGTGCAGAAAGACTACAGCACTGGACAGGAGCCTCTGCTGAGCACAGTGAAAGTGACAAAGTTAGCACAGTTGTTACCCTGGGGGCAGGGGCAGGCTCCACTGAGGGCCCAGACTCCTCTAAGAAGAAGACCTCATCTTTGGCTGCCCTGAGTCCTTTTCTGTTTCCTTTCCTGGTCTTGGCCCTAGAGAACTCAGGCTGGAAAAATGGGTGGGTGCATAGTCTATTTATTGCTGAATGTTCTCCCCTTTGTATATTTCTTGTCCTTTCTGCTGTTTTTGGAGATGACAACCCAGAAAAGTATTTACCTACATTGTTTTACCCCTTCTCAGCTTTTCCTGCCACCATGAACCACTCTTAGGGAAAGCGACAGAGACGTCATTCTTGGTAGACTTAGGGTTATGCTGAATGGAGCAGCAATTGATTAGAAGGGGTTCATTCATGTTCACCAAGTCTTCCCTGAGGGCCTTTTGTACACATACAGTATTGCAGATGCTGGGAAAAGACAGTGAGCCAAGGACACAGGCCAACCCTATAGGACTTACACTTCATAGCAGAGATAGGCACTGAGTAAATCAAAAATTTATATACAGCTCCCATACATTTAGGGGGAAAGTCAGGAGGAAGTTGTACAGGCCTTTACAAATCTAGATTTTTTTTTAACTGGGTCCTTCCCATTAAACCAGGATTGTGGCCTGGGGAAGAGAATGGGAAAAATGAGCCTTGTGGTTTAGCCTTTGATTTGGGGCCTAAATAGACTTGGAGATTCCAGCCATCTGACACGTGTGCTGCAGTCTGGTGCACTATTCCAAGCACAGGGCTTCATGGGAGATAGCACAGACCCAGATTCTGGCTGGGCACAAATCCCATAACCTCTCTAGCCTGTTTCTTCTTGTGTAAATGGAGATACAACCATGTTTTCTGGGGAAGCCCATGCCTGACACCCCTAGCCGCCCCGCAGTTTTGGAGTATTACCATGGCATTCATGGCCCTCAGTGCTGACTCCTTTCCACCTTCTGAGGGGCAAGGTGTCCTTCTGAGTGTCTCTGAGAAGCTGGTGAAGTGCTGTCATCAGAGCATCCAGGAAATGTGCTCAGGGGGCCTTAGCAGTGATGCAGGAAAGCCCAGGTCTTCATTCACTTTTGCCCCACCAGCTATGGAATTTCACCTGTAGCCCAGATACCAAAGTCAGAGGGGGAAGGAAATTGGCTCTTGGCCCTGAGGTGGAGCAGAAGAAGGCAGGGGAGAGGAAGCCACTCAGCATCTGGGTATCTGGTGGTACTCAGGCACTAACTGTGCTGGGTATGGAACAACTTACCCAAGACCTACAGGGACCCACTGAATAGTGAGAAAAAAGCCCCTGGGCTTCCTGAAGCCATACCTACAAGGTGCTTTCCTGCATCTTTTTAGTGGGGAAAAAAGGCACTGTCTATGTACCTCTAGTTTCAGGAAGTGTGGCGGCCCAGCCGTCACAACACAAATGTACCTGAGTTGGGGAGTGAGGATTGAGAAGGGAAAGAACACTCACACCTGAGTGGAGACCAAGAGAAGTCTGGTTTATTTCTACAGAAACAGCTTTTCTTAAAGGCACATTAACAGGAAGCATCAAGCAATCATCTCCATCATTTCTTACACAAAAACAGGAATTCCTGATTTCTACAGATACCACCAAATCTTTGGCTATCTCTTTGAGTTCCTCCCATGGCAGGGTCAAAGAACAAATAAGCTTAACAAACAGAGTCCTTGAAAGGTAACAAATGTTACATAGCTTGTATCAATGCCTTCATTATAGAGGAAGAAGTTTCCTTTCAAATGTCAAATGCCAGAGAGCCACGGTGGGCTCCCACAGGAAGACGTGGAAACAGGGGTCTTTTCCTGCCTCAGCCAGCCAGGTGGCCATTGCCAATGACTTTAGTGACTGTGTAAGAATTTGTATCTCAAACTGTGTCACTCTCCGCTGTCAGAGACCTCCCCCTCCAAAGGGGAAGAGAAATACAAATGCAGTAACTACAGTGTCAAGGCTTTCTGTGTGGTGTCTGTAGTTCTTAGGATAGTTACAGGAAGAGGAAATTGAGGATCTAGGAGCTCCTAGGGCTCAGGGCTCCTACGACCTGAGCTAAGGTTCAGCCTTGAGTGTCTGTCTGCCTCCAGAGCCTCCGAACTTTCATCATGCCATGCTTGAGGGACTCAGAGAAGCTGGGTGACACCTGAAGTTACAGAGCTGGGAAGAACCAGGACTGGCCTGGCTCTCCTTTTTCGTGTCCACTATGTCCAGGACACTCCTCACAGCCCAGCTGCCTCTTATCCATGATCTATGGCCCAGTGTCAGACCTAAGCACCAAGACTGCTCTTTGGGAAACATGAGTGACCCTGTGCTCCCTGGTACAGTATTGAACCTCCGTGGTGACTCTGATACCCATTAAGCCATTATCTATCCCAGTGCTGCAGCATTGGCCCCATGACAGATTTGGACTCCAGGATGTAGCACCAGATGGCTAGTTGCCAGGTGACTCAGGCCCTCCAAGCTGACAGACCGCACCCAGCCTGAAGGCTGTCTGCTCTGGCAGATGGCAGGCTCATGTCTGATGGTGGTGGCCATCTGTTGGCTGCCATGAAAGTTGAACCCTTAGGGACCCTGTCCGGGCTCTTTGGGGCTGCCTTGGCTCACTCAGGGATACTTTGTAAAGGAAAATAATTTCTTTAGGAAACTTGACGGGGACAATGTATGGCCCCTTCTTTATATTTCCAGCCAGAGACTTCAGAGTACCCCCCCGCTCACACACACACCATGGGCCCTGACACCATGGAAGGAGGATTGAGAGGCCCCTTGTCTGTTACAGCTTGGAGGGGGCACCCTTGGCATATTTTCCCTTTCATCTTTGAGGCAACTCTGCACAGAATAGGGGTTTTATCTCCATACCAATTATGAGAAAGCTGGGGCTCACTGAAGTAACCAGCCTGAGGCCAGCTTCTTTAGACCCTCAAGGATCTGGAATGGAGACGTGTTAGTCCATTTTTGTTGCTGTAATGAAATGTATGATGCAGGTTACTTGATAAAGGAGAGATTTGTATTGTCACACAGTTCTGGAAGTACAAAGTTGAGATGTCACATCTGGCAGGGTGGCCTTATGCTGGCAAAGTTCAAAGCAATATAGGGCATCGTTTATTGAGAGGAAGCACTTAATGTTTGAGTCTCATCTCGTCCCCTCTCTCCCCTCCCTCCCTGTCTCTCTCTCTCTCTCTCTCTCATCCACCAGGATTCATTCACAGGATCTCTACCCTAATCATCCCCAAAAGGCCGTAGTCAAAGCACCATAGTCAGATTAAGTTCCATCCTCTTAATATTTCACAGTGGATATCGAATTTTAATACACGAAGCCTTGGGGGATACTCAAACTCTGTCCAGAACCCAGCAGGTCTGAGGCCTGTGTAATTCCATAGCCAGTGATCCTTCAACTGACTTCTCTTAGACTCACTTACCTTAATTTTAGAGGTAAAACAGTGGGGTGGGGACAGTGACTGCACACCAAACCAGAATGTTCAGAATGAAGAGTTCAGCTTCCCAGGCTCTGCTAAGAGAGATTAACATTCCTGTGGCTCCACCATGACCAGCAGCCTTGACCATTTTCTGGTTCAGCTAAGATTTGAAGATTACTGTGGATGACTTCCTGGTGAAACAACCAGACACCCTCGTTCAGACTTGCTCTAGGATCACCCTAGGTGGTCATATTTCCTCCAATGTTGGGAGAATAGACTCAAAACCTCATTTTATTCTATCCACTGTCTCTCTCTTCGCCGATCTGGCTCTCAAAGTCTGAGACCAGAATCCATGCACCAGACTAACAGGCCTGGTGGAACACAGTCAGGAGAAAGAGCCCCAGGCAGATCTGTAAGAGGAGTGTAGAAGTGAGTTATGAGTCCTGGGGACCTTCTGGCCCAGCTGCCTTGCTGTCTCAGGGGGAGGAGGAAGCCTCAGAATGGAGAGGGGTGAAAACTAAAGGACACGGTGGGCTCCATCAGAGGGTTCCCAACTCCTGATCCAGGAGCCTAACATTTCTCCATGATTTGTGGGCCACAGATTCTCCAGTAAAATGTTTCTTTCAAAAATAGAAATAACCCATGCATAGCAGCATTATGCAAGATACCCAAGAGACAGTGACAACTCACGTGTCCACCGGTGGATCAGTGGGTAAATAAAATGTGGTGTAAGCAAACAAGGAAGTACTACTCTGCCTTAAAACGGAGGGAAATTCTGACATTTGTTACAATATGGACGAGCCTTTGAAGATGACATATAGCAAGTGAAATAAGCCAGTCACCAAATGATACATGCTGTATGATTTCACTAGTAGTGCTTGAGGAAACCAGATTCTATCTCAGAGATACAGAATAGAATGGTTGTCCCCACCCCACTCTGCTGCCACACTCGAGGGCTCCCACAGCTCTGACCTGACTTTCATTTCTCCAGACCTTTGCTCCAGCTGTCTTCCAGCTTCCTTTAGGAGGATCCAGACCAGCTCTGGCTGTCCTTATGCTTCACAGCTCTATTTAAATTTAAATTTCTCTGCCATCTCTAGGGTGTTATGGTCTGCTGCCTACCTCCACCACAAGCAGAAATCATTGCCCTTTTCTGGCTCTGTGACCCTACAAACACCCTTGCTCCCCCATCATCTGATGGGCTCTGAAGAGTTCCCCCAAAGAGGAGTTAGTCCTCAACTCAACTTGCTCCCCACCATGAGGTAGGTTCTTCAGTGTCTCATCACAGAAAAAGAACTTCAGGACACATCAGTGGGAGGCATAGAGAGATTCACTAGGCAGTTGAAGAAGTACATACTCAAAGAAAAGAGGGCCAGGAATTTAGCTCAGTGGTTCCACCACCTGCCTCACAAGCGCATGGTCCCACGTTCTATCCCCAGTACAAAATAAATAAATAAATAAAAAGAGAGAGAGAGAGAGAGAGAGAGAGAGAGAGAAGATGGACACTGAAGAAAGAGGTGCACTATGGTCTGGGTTTGGGAATATAAGTCCCTGAATTATGAATGAGTTCCATTCCAGGATAATGCCTGAAAGTCGGATTCATTTGGAAATCAACAAAGTAAGTCATTAACACAAATACACAATGTATTTGCTTTATACTTCCTATAAGTCCCCTCATCTTGCTTTTCATCTTTTCATCTTGCTTCCGGAACTCCTGGGCTCTGACTGAGCACTGTCCTACTGTACTGTACTGTACTATCACACTGTACAGTAAGCACACGGCAGCACAGCTGTGACAATGTCCCACAGACGTGGAGCTCCCTTCAGCTTCTGAGGTCATGGGAGATGGGAGCATGACTGTCCCGCTATGGGCTCCAGCACCTGGCACAGGGCCTGGCACTGAGCAGGTGCTTGGTAGAGGTTTATGAATGGGTGGGTGGATGGATGGGAAAGCAGAGAAAGAATGGTCCTAGTACCAATGTTCTGGAAGACTCATTCTAATGTCATTGACTTCTCAAAGAAAGACCTAACTTATGGCAGTTCTTCTCTAAAACAGGATTCTTCTTAGCAAATAATACTATCCAGCTGATATATTTGTTTAAATACTTTGGCATGGGGACAGTTGCTGTGTTTCTGAAGTGCTTTTCCCAATGAGTCTGTCAGGGAGCATAGCAACATGGCCCGAAAGGCCCTATCTGCCATGTCGACCTGGCTGCTGGGCTGCCTTGCTTCTAGTATTCAGATCCTGGCACACAGTGAATTCACTTTCCAGCTTTGAGCAAGGCAGGCCTGAGTCCCGGGGAATTAGAGGGTTAGGCGTAGGGAGCCCAGAGTCCTGGACTTTCCATGTGATCAGTTGTAAATTGAGACACTTCCTTGCACCAGTCTCCCAAACATTGTTTGGCAAGCTGAGGAAGCTAGGCACAAATAGATTGAATGAGGCTCTCTGTGTGGCTTTGCATGAGGCCTGCTAATGTATTTCCTCTGTAAGACTGTCTCAGCCTGATTGGAAGTGACTGGATGCTATATTAAGAAAGATTTCGAGGTCTCCGTTTGGCATTGCGGGAAGGAATATCATGATTAATTAGTAATATCTGCCACAGAGAGAGAACGAGGAGTAATACCTATGTGCCATAAAGCTGCCATCCCAGGTCTTACTACTGATGAAGCTCAGGCTTTGGAGTCTGGATGACTTGGGATTAAATTTCACTCTGTTCTCCTGGGCATCCATTTGTTTATCCCTGAAATGGACTTGAATAATTCGAGGTATGGCTTCAGTGCTATAACAAAGATACCTCAAAGTACTATGGCTTAACATCAGTTCCAAGTTTCTGTCTCTTGTGTTGAAAAAAAGAGAGGAAGATAAGCTCCTGTGTGCTGGCAGGTGGCAGGGTAGTTGTTCTGCCACTCTCAGCATGTCACTTATGGGTCTTAGGTGGCTGCTTTCATTCTTGCCATTTATCAGCCAGAGGGAAAGGGAATTAGACAGGGGAGCACATGTCCAGTGGTTTCAGAGGTGACCCCGTAGCAGCCCACATCACTGCTCATTTGCTATTTAAGCAAAATAGTCACTTGGCTACCCCTATGTGCGACTCACTGGGAAGTCGAGTTTTTAGTTGGGGAGCCCTTCACCTGCTTGACACTCTGTTGGGCAGAAAAGGAGGAAATAAGTGTTGTGATGAGATGCCCAGGGCACTTTCTGAGCATGTCTTGGGGTTGTTAGGTCTAGTGATAGCCTGTGGGTGCCTCTGGCACCTGACAGGCCTTCCCCAAGCCCACAGGTGCCTCCCTCTCCCTGCCCAGGAGCTGGTGCAGATCCTGCACAAGGCGCTGGAGGCTGCACAGCAGGAGAAGAGGGTGTCCAGTGCATACCTGGCTGCAGCTGAGGACAAGGACCGGCTTGAGCTGGTGCGGCACCAAGTGCGGCAGATCTCAGAGCTGGGCCGGAGAGTGGAGGCCCTGGAGAAGGAGCGAGAAAGTTTAGCACACTCAGTCAGCCTTCGAGAGCAAGAGGTACAGGAGCTGCAGGAACACGTGCAGCTGCTCATGGACAAGAACCAAGCCAAGCAGCAGGTGATCTGCAAGCTCTCTGAGAAGGTCACCCAAGACTTCACACAGCACCCCGGTGAGCACCACGTGCCTCCCACCCCTGCTGACAGGGACCTCCTAAGCCAGCAGGAGATATTGGAGCACCTGAAGGTAAGGCCTCTCCATCCCCCAGGATGCTGTCTCAATGCTAATGGTTTTCTAAATGGAGCAAGGGTCTTCCTCCATCTGAACAGTTGTACTGGAAAGAGATGTGAATGGGAAAATTGCTCTTCACTTCCTCACTGTCTTCACCTGTTCATGACATCCTCAGCTGCTGAAAAGTACAAATGTCTCTAGCTTATCAAATTAGAGATGAAAGAGCCAGGATGTGCAAAGTCTGGGACCTGGTCTGGACAGCCTGCTTTAGTGCCATTCCAGTGGCCCAGAAACCCCGAAGTGCCAGGGCTGCCCTCCCAGCAGTCATATACACAGTACAGGTGACCTGTGGTGGCCGTGGTTTGCTTGTGATAATGTCTCTGCTCACTTATGGAATTGGTAGGATGTAGATACTTCTCATGATCTTACTTCATCCTCACACCAGTCCTAGCAGGCAGTCACTTGAAAGCTGCCCATTTTGCAGAAGGGAATGTTGAGGTTGAGCAAAGTAAAGAAGCTGGCCTGGCCTGCTCAGAGGTGGGGAGCTGAGATGGGGCTGGAACTCACTTCTGTTGATTTGTCTGTCTATTTTGGTGTCTTTCAGCTTCTCTGCCTCTTCTGTTGTAGCTCCTTCCCCTGCCCTGCCTCACCCTTCCTGTTCTGTCCCCTCTCTCCCCAGGCTGCGCCAGCCTTCAGGGACTCACTGAGGCACAGGGAGCAGGAACTTTGACTGAGGCGTCAGGCCCGCCATGGCCTGCAGCCTCCTCCCTCCTCGCTAGAAGGTTGTGATGGGACTCCTCCGCCACAAGGAGGCCTGAAGCTGGGTACTGATCGGTGCTCCTCATTCCCGCCGTCCCTAAAGTCTGCCGTGTAGAACCAGGGCCAGGCTTGCCCAAATGGTGCCTCTCACAGCCACACATATGCAAACCTACATAAAACCTTACAAACTCCTGCGCTCCTGAATAAGGAGCGGGAACTGCTGGGGGGTTTCAAGGTAGGGGTGCGTGGAAAAGAAAACCGCATTCAGGAAACTTGTGAGAGAAGCAGTGGGAGTGCTGAACAGCAGCCGGGCTGTCATGGGAGCCTTCCTGCAGGAGTCCAGACTCTGCCTCTTACTAGCACGTGGCCTTGGGCAAGTCGTCTCACCTCTGGGTCAAGTGGCCTAACCAGTCCTGCTTGGAAGAGTTTTTAGGAGAATAAAGGATGAGAACCTGAAACCCAGATTCCTTTCCTGTTGCAGAAACTGAAAAATAATATAAAACCAACTAGGCCTAAAAGTATTTATTAGTCTAAATTGGAGATTATTCTGCTTTAAAACAAAACCAAAGCTTTCACATAGAGATGCAGCTGGATGGTCAGGGAGCTGCAGTCTGGCAGCACAGTGGAATGCTCCCTTCTGCCCCTCCCTTGCCCCTGCTCTGGGCCCTCCTCTCCTCTCCCCTCTTCAGTAGAGCAGCACAGAGGCCAGAAAGTAGATGAGACTGCCTGAGAGCTGCTTGTCACCATGGACTTACCTAGGAGCCTGAGTATGTCCTGAATTCACATTTTCTGGTTTTGTTTCAGCAGTGAGCCCAGCTGGAAGGAGGCTCTGCAGGTATGATTCACATTGATGTGATTCTGACATTTGCAGATCATCCTCCAGTGTCTTGTGCTTTAAAGAGTTGCATGTAGCAGCTATATCTTAAAATGTAGCTTTTAGAAAATCCATCAAATAAACATCCATCATCCTTAAGTTTGGCCATAGAAAGTTTGCAAGTTTCCTGCTTACCCCATTTTTGAGCTGTCTTTTTTTTTTTTTTTTAATTGAGTTTATTGGTACATTTAGGGATACAGTACAGTTACATTCATTGTTGGGATCATGTACCTTTACATGGCAAGTCTTGATTCTCATTTTTTCCCCTTACCTCTGCCCTCCCTTCACCCCCTCCTCCCCTCCCCATCTACAAACACTTTATTTTCATCTTTTCATTCTCTCACATTTTTTTCTTTTCCCTTTTTGTTCTTCCCCTACGTATAACACCTTCCCTACACCTTTAGCTCCTTTCCTCCCATTTCTAAATGTCAGTAATCTTATTAGAATCTTATGCATTGTTGCAGAATATTCACACCAGGGAAACTATTTGGTATTTACACATGTGGGACTTATTTATTTCACTTAGGAGTATATCTTCAATATGTATCCATTTTCCTATGAATGAATCTATTCTCTCGCTCTTTATGGCTGAGTAATATTCCATTTTATAGAAAAACCACAACTTCTTTATCCAGTTTCCAACGGATGGGCAAATAGGTTGTTTCCAAGATTTAGCTATTACAAACTGTGCCGCTATAAACATGGGTGCACATACTTCTCTGTGATATGATTCTTTTAGTTCTCTTGGAAAGATACCCAACAGAGGGATGGCTGGGTCAAATGGAACCTCCAGTCCAATGAGCTGTCATTTTAAAACCAGAATCATTGGTCTCGAGTGTCAGAGCGAGAAAGTCCCAGAAGCCTAGTGTGTCCCTCCTTTTCCTAAACAAACTGGTCCAGAGTCACACAGCATGAGACAGGCTAGCAGAAGCCCCAGGTCTCTTTACACAGGCACCAGCCCTCGGCCACAGGCACTTTCTAAAGAGTCCCTGACCTGGGATTTAGCTCAGTGGTTCCACCGCCTGCCTCGCAAGCACAAGGACCTGAATTTGATCCCCGGTGCCAAAAAAAGTCCCTGACCCTACACAACTCCATCAGCAGCTCCCTGCTTCCGGGCCTTCTTCCACCCTTTTTCCTCTTTACTGTGCTGGTGACTGTCGTGTGGCTTTTCTCTGCTCTGAGGTTTCTTTTTTTTTTCTCCCTACAGTTCTGAGCCAAGGAGAACACTCAAGGTAGGGCACCAAGCTGAATGGGAGGGTGCTGCTGTGTGGCCAGCCCCTCCCCACTACTGGTCCAAGGGTACTCACACACACACACACACCCATATGGGCGTATTTGTGCCTCTTCTAGTACCAGAAGCAGGGCGCCTCGTGTGACGAAAGCCTTGGAAATGCCACTTAGCAGCTTATAGGCCTGGATGGAGTGGTAGCACTTCTGGGCTAGGATGGCATGGTAACAAAAAGGTGGGAGCCAGCATGTTGTGGAGCAGTCGGCATTGCTGGCGCTCACTCTGAGCTGACCGGCCTGCGTTTGGGTCCTGGCTGTCCCCCACACCACTGCAGGACAGAGGATCTTCCCTTCTCGGTGATTGTTTCCTCAACTGTAAAATGAGAATAGCACTTTAATACTGATCCCAAAGGGAGTGGGCCTGACGCAGAGTGGGTACTCAGGGACTGGAAGATCCTGTCTTCCCTGGCATCCCTGGTGCTCACTGCTTGTCCTGGGCATTGGCAAGAATCCATACCATCAGCAGTGGGAGAGTGTTCTGCAGACAAGGAGGAGCAGGTGGGCCCTGGGAGCTCTCTTGCATTGAATTTGCCCTGCTCCATGCTAAGCCTTTTTGCACACATGAGCTCACCAATCCCCCCAGGAGCCCCTTGAGTTGGTTCTGAGCTGGTACTGAGTTGTCCCAGATGAGGGGACAGAGCACAGGGAAGTTAAGTAATGTGTCCAGGGGCACAGTGGTGAGGATGGAGCACACAGGTAGTATGGCCCCAGCATCCTTGCACCTGACATGTACCAGCAGCGATGCTACCACACGGGCAGTGCCCACATCTTTAAAGTCTTGTTATTATACTGCCTGCGAGGTCAGCGTGCATGCATTAGCTGGGAGACTGCAGAGGACCTGCCTGGGAGGTGGGGACTAGAGTTTGGGCCTTCTGGTACCTTCCAGCTAGGAGGGAACTGAGAGAGTGACCAGGCAGGAAGTGCAATGGCCACAGTACAACTGTCGAATCCACAGGCCTGGGCCCAGCCACTCTGCCTTGTCCTGGATGCATGGCGTCTGGCAAGTTCCTTTCCCTTTAGGGTCCCTGAGGGACCCTCTATGTTCCCAAGGATGACAAACATTTCTTCTAGTGGTACTGAGAGGCTCAGCATGGCGGTGGCAAAGGGGGCCATACAGGGAGTCATACTGCAAAGTTATTCACGTGAATGAGGCATGGTCCTGAGAAATCCTACCAAGTCCATCCCTGTACCATGAGCAGCAGGCCTCTCAGGACCTCGCAGGTCTCTGCCTCAGAAGGATAAGGAGGTAGGAGTCCAAGTGGGAGCAGATAGCTTTGCCCAGAGGAACAGCTGCACTCGCTAGTAAAATTTCTGAGACAGAGCCTGAGCTCTCATCCAGAGAAGGAACATGGCTAGAAAGGAGGAAGACAAGGTGGGGGAGATGGATGGCAGGCTCCAGGCCAGGAGAGAGCAGAGAGTGAGCACAACAGAGCACAGCCTTCCCAGCAGAATAAAGATCGTGAGCCATGGCCATAGCCTAAGTCCTCTTGTGACCCTCTTTTTTTATTCAAATAAATAATCTTTATTAAAGAAAAAAGGAATATTGTTAAGCACCAAAACTGTATGTTATTACATTGCATGTACAATAAGAGAAAGGTGATTGCAATACTTAGTGTACAGGTACATAACTCTGAAGTCATGAATGTAAAAAACATGAAATACAAAGCAATACAATAATTACAATGCAGAAAATTGGCACTAATGAGCAAAAGGCAATAGTCAAAGCAATTATTGTAGATGTCCTAGTGTTGCTATAAATGCTTGCTTAGAGTTTTCTTTATACTTTTAATACTTTAGAATGTTAATTGAGCATATTTCTTATACATCTGCAGAACCTGCATTAACAACCCACTATTACACTGTCCATTTAATGTCATGATGAAAAAGTCATCCATAAAACCAAGCACAATGTGCTAGTGTTTCTGCTTCTATCTTTATAATATTGCACAAAGCTAGTACATGGTGAATCAGTTGCTAGCATTCTATTCTTGTACCCAGAATAGAATGGCTAGAAGCATGTCAGTTTTGCTCTACTGGACTTTATTCATGCACAATGACCTGTGGCCTTTGACTTTTCTTGAGTTACATCTGGCTTTCTTCATGCCACCCTTTCCAAAGTTTGTCCAGCCTGTTGAGTGCTCCATTCTCCCTACCACCGGGGATAGTTCACACAGATGGGGAGCTGCGGGCTCAGAGCCGTTCATCCTAACAGTATTCAGAATCAAAGACCAACTGAAAACCCCAGTGTTCAAGTTTTAAAAACTAAAAGAAAAGAAGAATCATCAGTCAATTAAAAATGATCACCAAAGGGGCTGAGGATTTAGCTCAGTGGTTCTGCCGCCTGTCTCGAAAGAGCAAGGTCCTGAGTTCGATCCCTGGTACCAGGAAAAAAAAAAAAAAGATTGCTGGAGCTGAGCACAGTGGCGCATGCTATTTGAGAGGTTGAGGCTGGAAAATTGCAAGTTCAAGGCCAGCCTGGGCAATTTATCAAGACTCTTGTTTCTTACAAGAAAGAAAGGGGTCAGATGTGTAGTTCAATATCATGCTTAGCATGCTTAAGGCCCTGGGTTTAATCCCCAGCACCAGAATAAATGATCATTGGAAAACTTATTTAACAATATAGAACAGTATTTGCAAAGTGACACCTTACAAAAACATTTCCACAAATATCTGATAAAATGTGTTGCTTTCAAAAAGACACTGCTTGAATCTTGCCAAGATTCTCCCCATCTCCCCTACATCATCCATCACTCCCTGCTGCGGGATCAGGTCTGTGCTCTGTGTCTCCTGACACTTGGGGAGGCAGCCAGTTTGGGAGGGATGGCTTGTCCGAGGTTACACAGGCCTCCCTGCTCCAGCCCAAGATAGTAGCAACCAGGCATGCTGCCTTTTCTGTCCAGCCCCATTAGGAGCTCCTGTTGGTCCTGGAAAACATCTAGTGTCTCTGCTCTCTAGAAGCAGAGATCCGTTCTCCTCATTCCTGAGGTTCAAAGCATTTTTGTTGCAAGACATCTGTTCCCAGGGATGGCGGAGAGACTGGTTCTGTCACAGGCATGGAAGGTGGGAGAACTGCAGAGACGAATGGGGGAACCGTGCTGTGCCTGACTGCGAGAATCTTGAGAAAAGGTGTGAAATTAGCCAAGCCAAGACTGGGGAGATGAATCTTGCTTCAGTGAGCTGTGGGCTGCACAGGCCCTGAAAATTAAGGCAGTGCCTCCAAACCCCAGCCCAGGAAGTTATGGTTCTAACTCCTGCTCATGCCTGCCAGACTGTGTATGTCTCTGAACCTCAGTTTCCTTGCCTGGAAAGTAGTGTAAGAGCTACTCACAGAGAATTCTTCTGTGTGGTGAAATGAGATCATTTGTCAACTTCTAGACACTCGATAGGCACTCACTGTAGATCAGTTTCAGCTCTGCTTCCTTCGGCCCCACTTGATTCCATGGCAACTGTGGGTGGGTATAGACCTGGCTGTAAGTCTACACATCCAGGCCTCCAAAAGCTATTTTGCTAATTCCTGACCCAAATGCTCCTGCCTCATCAGACAGCCCATTTCTCCTGCGTTGACTCTTGTCCCTGTCATCACAGTGCCTTGGCAGGGAAGGCCAGATTCTTGTGCAAAATGGATATAACCAGAGGCCTCCGGGCAGTCAGGAAAACGGTTCAACAAACTTTCCACTAGGACTGTCAGAAGTCATTTAGTCTTCCCCGGTCTTTTTAAAAGATAGAAAAGGGACTTGTCAGCGACGGTAACCCAACGAGTGTTTCACAACAAGGATGGGAACTCAGGTCTCCCAACTCCTTAGCCTGGCCATGCTGTGAGATGAGGTTAAGGCTACCAGCAAGGTTGGGGTCTTCCCAGAGAGCAAAGCCATGCCTTTTTATTACCAGCAAGTAAGTCCGTGAACTGTATTGTTCTGTGGTGGTTGATACAAAGAGCACATTTCACTGTATGTAAATTTTTAAAAGGAAAGGGGAAAATCTTTTCATATAAAGATTTTCCCCTTTCTTTTTTTGCAGTACTGAGTTTGAACCCAGAGCCTCAAGCTTGAACTCTACCACTGTGCTACTCTAAACCTACAGCCACTCTTATTTTTCTTCTTTCTTCTTATTTCTTTATTTATGTATTTTGTTCTGAGACAAGGTTGTTTTGTTTTGTTTTTTGTGGAACTTGGGCGGAGGGGATTGAACTTAGGATCTTGTGCTTGCCAGGCAAGTGTGGTGCCACTGAGGTAAATCTCTAGCCCTGAGACAGGGTTTTCTACATGGTTCAGGCTGGCCTTGATCTCACTTTATAACCCAGGGTGGCCTTGGACTCAAGATGATCTTCCTGTCTCATCCTCCTGAGTGCTAGGATTACAAGTGCGCACTACCATGCCTCGCTTCTATTTCTTATAAGAGATAAAGCCTTGGTATATTGTCCCGCTGGCCTTGAACTCCCAGGCCCCTACCTTGGCCTCCCACCTAGCTGGGATTACAGATCTTCCACACCACACCCAGTTTAGGTTATTTTAATTCCCAAGTGGCATTTAGAACTTTGCTTTCTCCTTGTCCCAGAAAATATTTGAGTTGTTTGGACTTCTTTACCATAAAATTAGCATCATTTTCTTTTTATTTATTTACTTTTGCGGTACCAGGGATCAAATTCAGGACCTCGTACTTGCTAGGTAGGTATAGCACCAGTGAGCTACATCCCTGGCCCTACCATCATTTTCTAAGATAACAGTTTTTGCTTTCCACTCTGCACTGCTGGTTTCCAGCATCACAGCCTATGAAACAATAGATAGCGACTATCATTCCTTTTCTACAAGGGGTGTGGAAGTGGTTTGGGGTGTACCTCTATGGCAGAGTGCTTGCGTAGGCTCACTGTCCTCAACTTTAAGTGAGCATGACCATATAGCCCCCCTCTTCGGACTGTTGTGGGTATTGAGTTTAAGGCACCATTTCCCATCCATCCCTCAGGAGAATCCTCTAGATGTTGATAAAAATCCGGGGGCCCAGGCCCAGAGATAGGACAAGTCCCAGGGATTCTTGTGCAGGAAATTTGGGAAACAGGAGGTCGATTTTTATACAGCTCATACTGTTGTGTCGCTCATACTGGTGAGCTAGTGTTTACCGAGCACTTACAGGTGTTCGTTCATCTTTGGAATGAGGATAATAATGACCACCAAATGGGGTTATAATGGGCACCACACAGAACGATATCTTGTGGCCAACAACAGTCAGTTCTTTTGTTGTTGTTGTTAAGACAGGGTTTCGTTATGTACTTCGGGCTGGCCTTGAACTCACTATGTAGCCCCGGCTGGCCTTGAACTCAAAGCAATCCTCCTGCCTCAGCCTCCCAAGTGCTTTGATTACAGGTATGCACCACCACATCCAGCTTCACTGTCAGTTCTTACACACATTGGGGTCAGCACCTCCTGGTTGAAGTAACTCCAAGGTTGAGATGCAGGCATGGGAGCCTGGCTGGCCGCTTTCCCAGCTCCAGCTGCAGTGGCAGGCAGGCTTCCTCCAGGTGGGGTGCTCAGGAGCCCTGACAGGAAGAGTCTCATTTTCCAAATCCGAAGCACCCATTTGAGCTCCTGCCTCTCCTTGCATGAGTGCGGTGGCCACTGTGTGGCGCACACTGCTTGCTCAGACTGAGTCACTGAGTCACCAGCAAACTCTAGGAACTTCGTGGGGACCGGGTGAGATAGACAGGGAGTGGCAAACTGGCTGGGGAAGTAGGCGTGACCTGTTCATTACAAGATCCCCGGCACGTGCAGAACAGTGCCCAAAGCCCTGCACATGGTCAACAGGATGACCTGGACCTGAAGTCAGCCTGAGGCTGCCTCTCAGGACCCACAGGTAGAGGTTCTCTCCAGTTCCTTCGAGATTTGGAAAGTATGAAGAACTCACCTGTACCATGGAGAGCTTGCTGTCATGACTTTCCATGATGTAGCCCACACTGGGTTTCCCAGGTGCAGTGTGTATTTTTATTTTTGCTTTTACCCTCTTTTTTCTGTTTACTTGGCCCAAGTTCCCTCTGTAGAGCCACTTTCTCCCCTACTCTTTACTTTTACTTCCTCGATAAACTTAGCCACTGCTTTTGGGTGGGTGGTGACACTGCTTGAGCACTGGCTGTGATTGGTCCTGTACATGTGTCAGATTACCTCATCTAGTGTCCTTGCTGCCTAGTGGGGAAGCTGGTGTTTGCCCCTTTTTCAGATAAGGAGACAGAGGGTCAGAGTAGTTTGAGACCTGCTGAAGCCCACTCTCTACCGAGCGTGCTGGGAGCAAGAATGGAGCAGGTTATGGGTGACTTTTTTTTCTTTTAGATTTTTTTTTTTTTTGGGACGTGATCTCTCTACATAGTCCACATTGGCTTTGAATTCACTGTATACTTCAGATTGGCCTCGAATTCAAAGTGATCCTCCTGCCTCAGCTCTCCAGAGTGCTGGCTTCACAGATGTGCTGGCTCTAAACTTCCTTTTCTATGTTGCTATTGGGAATTTCTCAAGAAAGGAAGCTTTGCTGCTCATTTAAGGGTGTGACCCTCTGGACCAGGAAGACTCCTGATGTGCCTTCCTCTCTTTTTCAGGATGACATGGAAGCATACCGGACCCAGAACCACTTCCTCAACTCTGAGATCCACCAGGTCACTAAAATCTGGAGGAAGGTGGCTGAGAAGGAGAAGGCCCTACTGATGAAGGTGCTGGTGGGAGCTGGTGACCATCTCTGGTTCTGCCCCTCCCAGTCCCGTGATGTCCCAGCCCACTCTTCTTACCAGTGCCCTCCCATGAGTCCCTTCTAAGCAGGGTTGTGTCACCCTCTGGTTCCTGTTCAGCAGTGTTTATGGGCAGCTGTGGGGAAGGGACATCAAGACCAATATGCTTTCTTGCTGCCCCCAGAAGTACAGTAGGCAGACAGTCCAGGAGGAGGTAGAGCTGGGCCCAGAGTTGTGACTGTGCTATAAGCAGACTTTTACTGTCCCCATCTCAAGAGACAGAAAGAAAGGCCCTGAGAGAGCAGTTGCATGACTTGCCCAGGCCAAGAGAGGAGGGCAGTGTCCAGGGGTGTCCCAGACCACGGAAGAGGGTGCAGGAAAGCTGGAGGTGGAAGGGGTGAGGTGTGTTGGAGAAATGGGAAATCTTCACGTGACTGATCATCACAGAGCCCAGAGGCAGACTCCATGTTACCCCCATGTTACAAATGAAGAAGTAAAGGCATAGAGAGGTTAAGTAATGCAGCTACAGGGATGAATCAGGCTGAAAACTATAGGCTGTGCAGAGCCTGTGCTCACTTCCCTCCCCTCCCCTCCCCTCCTTTGGATTTTGACCCCCTCTTGCCTGCTTTGCTTTAAGCCACTGGATTCTGGGCTCCTCTCCTTTCTCCTGTATGGAGTTCTAGGAGAGGAGAGAGGTAGAAGAGAGCTGCAAGGGCTGTGCTGCCATCTAGGGCTCAGGCTGGATGGCCCGACCCTGACAGGTGGCCTGAACATCCCTACCTGTCCCCTTGCAGTGCGCCTACCTCCAAGCCAGGAACTGCCAGGTAGAAAGCAAGTACTTGGCCGGGCTGCGGAGGCTGCAGGAGGCCAAGGCCGATGAGTGCTCTGAGCTGCTGAGGCAGTTCATCCAGGAGGCGCTGCAGTGGGAAGCGGGCACGGCCTCGGCGGACAGTGTGCAGCTGAGCCCTGTCAGGTGAGCCCAGCTACATCACCCAGGAGCCCTGGCTGCCCTTCCTGCTGACTGTGCATAGGGCTCCGAAAAATGAGTGGGCCAGCTGAAGGCAGCAGGCTCAGAGGAGGCAGCGCCTTGCCCAGGACTATACAGTCCATAGCGAAGCTCACCAGGCTGCCTCCCAGATGTGCGTGTCACAGACAGGAGGAGAGGTGGCGAGTCACTGGCTCCTCCTCAAGCCTAACCCTCACTGAGCCCAGTGAACATCGGTAGTTATGCGTAACAGAATGGGGGATGGCAGTGCCCAAAGATCCCTGGAGCCTGGGTGGCCCACTGGCAGGAGTCTGGGCTTTGAAGCCACAATCTTGTGTGGCAATGGGCGAGTCACCTTAGCTCTCTGAGCCTCCTACTCAGCCTCTGTAAGATGTAGCCTAAGACCCCTGTGTGTAGGATCCTTGGGATTGGCTGAGTAGTTCATGCAGGGCACATGGTAGGGCAAATAAATGCCAAATACGTGAGAGGCCACTTGTCGTGGGTCCCAGCTTTCCCATCTCTGCCTGTGCTTGGCAGCCATCCTTGAGCTGGGTGGCTGTGGGAGATGGGGCATACAGCAACACTGCAGGGTGTACTCAAAGGGCCCTGTGTTGCACAAGATGCATGAGTATCTTCTGGGCCTGTGCAGCAGGTACTTCCAGACCTCTAGCAGTTACAGCAGAGCCTCCTGTGGGGTCTTCAGGAAGCAGAACAGGAGTTTCTCTACTCACTGTACAGAGGAGTAAACTGAGCCTGGGAGAACCAAAGTGACCTGCCCAGAGCTGCATGGCCAACTAAGGCCAGCACTCACCCCAGTACCCCCCAACTTCCCCTAATTTAGGGAAGGGCTCTTCTTACAGCATGTGGCTAGCATACACTTTTGTCTGCAGTGAGTATGATGAGTATGGCTTCCTGACAGTACCTGACTACGAGATGGAAGACCTGAAGCTGCTGGCCAAGATTCAAGTGCTGGAGGTGCGCTCCCACCACCTGCTAGAGCTCGAGGCTGTGGAGCGGCCGCTGCGGCAGCGCTGGGCTGCCCTAAGCGAACTGGCACCCTCAGCTGAGCTGAAGCAGCTGCTGCGGGCCGGCGTGCCCCATGAACACCGGCCACGTGTCTGGAGGTGGCTGGTCCACTGCCGCATCCAGCACCTGCACACCCCAGGCTGCTACCAGGAGCTGCTGAACCAGGGTAGGGCCTGTGAGCATCCTGCTGCCCGCCAGATTGAGCTGGACCTGAACCGGACTTTCCCCAACAACAAGTACTTTACCTGTCCCACCTCCATCTTCCCTGAAAAGCTGCGCCGGGTGCTTCTGGCCTTCTCCTGGCACAACCCTACCATTGGCTACTGCCAGGGCCTGAACAGGTGAGCCACTGTGGTCACAAGGAGGACCAGGCCTTTGCCTGCCAGAGCACCGCCACAGCTCTTTGGGGCCTCCCAAGACCCTGGAAGCACCCAGGACACGAGGGTCAGAGCTGAGGGCCTTTGTCCTGTGCACTCCACTTTACGCATGACAGGTGCCAGCCACACAACCAAGGGGTGGTTAGTGCGACCTGGTTTGCATGCATAGAACGGACCAGCTCAGGGATTATCTGTACTAAGGGACCCCAGAGCAGCTCAAGGAGAGATGAGATTGTAAGTGGTACAGAAGAGCTCAAGGAAGCCAAGGAAAGCAAATAGAGGTGAAGGCCAGCCGCCCAGCAAGGCCACAGCGCAGCACAGCCCCACGTCAGTTCCTGGCTTCTCCCCAGTGAGCATCGTCCTGAGATGCGTGGCACATACCCCACACAGCTTGCCTGGCCTCTGGCCTCCCCTTGCTGTCCATGTTGGCCTCCTCCTTTCTTGGTGTACCAGCTTCTCTCACTCATTCTTTGGGCACACATGGTTGTTTGAGGCTGTCAGGGGACCTCAGCCCTAGAGCCATGGACCTTTGGCTTATCTTCCCATCCTATTTCTCACACGTTTAACCCCTCTGTCCAGGTCGGAAATTCCAAAGATTCCAGTCAGCAGGGGAGGGAGAAAATGAGGTTGAGTTTGGGTCCACCTGGATCACAGCGCTGCCCCCTCTAAAACTGGGAGGGTATTCTGGACACCCCAGTTACTGCCACAGAAATTGCATAGAGTATTTTCTTTCCTGGACATCCCCGTTAACTCCATAGAGTTTGAGTATACCCCAAACAGGTTTTGATTCAATTTATTAAAACACATATATACTTGATCAGAATTTACATAAGCAGTTTGGTTCCTTTTTCACAATAGGTGGTGTGTGACGTTTATTTAACATAGAGTCAATATTCAGAATGTCCTTACTCAAATTTGAATGGTTCCCACAAGTAGATATTTTCATTATTCTTATTTCTAGCCTAAATGTGGATGAAATTGAACATGTATGAGTATAGTTACTGAGAAAGTTCATGGTTAAACTCCAGCAATAATGTTTCTCAATCTAAGCCCCTTGGAAAAACAGGATTTCATGCTTTGAATATTGGCTTCAGGTAGTGTCTGTAGACCATTCATTCATTAACAGCTGAGCAAAGCGGCCTGTGCCCTCTTTCTGAATGTGTTAAAATCCAGGAAGGATAAAATTTGCAAAGCCTCTTTAAGAAAGCTGTTGAAGGAGCTGAAAGCTGAGATTAGTATGAATAATAATTTTTACATTTTGTGCAAAGGTCAGGTAGGAGTAACGTGAATGGAGGTTACTTTATATACCTGCTATGCTTTAATCTCATGTAGCACGTGTAAAGTGAGTCCTGGGGCCCCACTGAACAAGAGAGACAAGCTCTGAGAGCCCGGGGGACCAGCCCAGCACCACACCATGGCAGCTGGGCACCCAGTCCTCCTTCCAGCCCACCCTCACGCCAACTAGGCACCGCGTCAGGACTGCTGAGAATACTCCAGAGCCTTTTCTCCGGATCCGCTGTGACCTCTCAGGGATGAGAGTAGCCACATACAGGCTGTGGGTCTTTGGAGTGCAATCCATGCTGAAGGGCAAGAGAAATCCTTGCAGCAGGAGGGGCCTTGAGATCAGCCTCAGCAGGAGAGAAGCTTCCTCTGTGTGGAAAGAGACAGCACTGGGGCAGAAACCAAGAGAGGTGGAGACAACCAAGAGCATTTTAAATCTCTCTCTCTCTCTCTCTCTCTCTCTCTCTCTCTCTCTCTCTGTCTCTCTGTATCTCTCTCTGCTGTTTTTACTTAAATTTGATAGGCAAGCACAGATAATTGGTATTCATGCAAATATTGATACTATTTCTTTAAATAGAAAGCTACATGTAATAGAAAGCCTGTTCAAATGTGGATACATTCTTTTGGAGGCCCTTTAAACTTGTCTCTGTTGCCATCTAGTGAAGGCCTCTAGAACTGCGTGTGTGTTCAAGGCAACAGCCTGCTTCTAAGGCAACAAATCCAGGCTGGTTAGACTGCCAGACAACCCAGTGATGATCTAATGTTAATTTAGAGCACACTTGTTCTAGCCATTTCCCTGTGAAAATAAGCAGAATCCTTTAAAAATAGTCTGTTCCTCTTCCCATGGACACACCCCCTCCTGTGCAGGCCCAGTGGGGCCCTGAATAATGGATGGAGTCCAGCTGTAGCCCTGAGTGGTTAGTAAGCCCTGGTGGGAACTAGCCTCAAGTAACTGAGGTGTGTGAAAGTCTGCGTTGGCAGACGACTCCTGGATGTAGAGTGGACAGAGCACCAAGCTGGACTTTGAGAGTCCTGGGTTCTGTGCCCACTCTGCCATAGACTGACTGTGATTTTGAACCAGTCACTATGGTTTTCTGGGGCTCCCATCGGGACTGTGTCTTACCAAAAAGACCAGTAGGAGGCAGCTGCTGGAGGCCTGTCCTGAGGGAATTTTGGAGGTAGCCCCTAGTCTTACAGGAAAGGGTGCCGTAATCAGCTAGTTAGGTCCTCCATGGGCAGAAGTAGAGAATCTGGCACACTCCGTCCTAAGCACAGACAAAGAGTGGTGACCCATGTACTACACGTTCACTATCCTTCGACTCAATGCCCTCTAAAGGCCACTTCTGCCAGGACATCTGTGACTCTCCTCTTCTTCCACGCAGCTCAGTTAGACTCGGGAAGGTTTATACAAATATTTGAGCCGGAGTTGAAATTCCTTCCCAGACTACTGAGGAAGAAGAAAGGATTTGAGTTTTGAAATCCAGTCCTGTTTTTAAATGCCATGAATCCTCAGAAGAAAGTAGAGGAATGAGGAGAGGCTATCAGGACAATGAAATAGTCTCTCTAAGTGCCCTGTGAGTCTATAGAGAGCTCATGTGCTGAGGTGTCATCCTCCTGCAGGAGCTCTGAGGAGCACTGCTCCCCCCACAGCACCTCCTCCTCCTCGGGTGTAATGCGTGAAAACTCCATGGCTCACAGAACCACCCCAGGTGGCCGCAGGATTTCCCGGGGACTAAGATAGTAGCATCATCATGAGCCTCAGGGTCAGAATCGGAAATCAGGGGTCCACAGGAGGTATTTTGGGAAATGTGTTCTTGGATTGGCCCCAGATGTACCCCCGAGGGAAATTAGGTGAAGTGGAGAAAATACTACTTCCCAGGACCTCTTCCCAGCTCTGCCCTGTAAATTCTGTCTTTGTCACTCACAATCTCACTCGAGCCTCATGATAACTTGGTGGGGAGGTCAAGGAGAAAAGAGTTGTGTGTCAGGCACTGGGGTGTGCACGTCAGGCAGTAAGCAGGGCAGTGGAGGTGTCTTCTCAGTCAGAGGGCCCACACTCCAGGCTGGGGAATTTTGCCACTGCTGCTCTGCAGAGCCTGGAACTGAGTCCCAGAGCACATGAGTACAGAGGTGAGAACAGCTAATGTTCATCAACAGCTCAGTACATGGCAGGCACTGGGCAGAGCATCGAGTGTGTGACCTGTTCATCCTCACACCATCCCATGATGATTCTGTGGAGGCCATGTCACCCAGGAAGCAGCAAGGCTGGGATGCACACCTATTCAACCTGATTTCCATTGCCCTGGAAACCACCTGGTCATCCTCTCCAGAAGAGGGTTGTCACCAGCTTGGTTAGGGCATGAGGTTGGCCTGGTGCTAGGTACGGAAGGACCGTACTAGAGGACCCACAGAGCCACCCCTGCCACCAGCTACCTGGCAGGGCTGTAGCTTCTGTGTCACTCCAGTCTTCTTCCTCCCATGCCAGGCTGGCAGCCATCGCCCTGCTCGTCCTGAAGGAGGAGGAAAGCGCCTTCTGGTGCTTGGTGGCCATCGTGGAGAGCATCATGCCAGCAGAGTACTACAGCAAGACCCTTATAGCATCCCAGGTAAGCCAGGCAGGGAGGGTACCTGTGGCCATGTAGCCAAGAACCCTGAGTTGTTCCCTTGAGCCAGTGAATCTCAGGACAGTGGGAGTCTCTTAAGCCTCTGTTTCTCCTTCTATCTGTGGCCAGTAACCCTTCTCTTGGACCCTGGGAGGTCTGGAAAGCTGAAGCCTGTAGAATTGCTGGGGCCGTGCCCACAGCACAGACTGATATTAATGTGGTGATAATCTCATGTCCTTGGCTTCCTGGGGAGGGGAGGAGGAAATCTAGTGTCTCTTGCCATCAGCCAGTAAAGAATTTCAAGACACAGGTCTGCTGGATGGGAGATGGGGAACGCAGGAGGCAAGATGATGCTTCCTGCCCTCGACAGCTGTCCACTAAGATGTGCTGCCTCTGTCACCTCCTCCTCTTCCACTGGCCTCTGGCCTTGGCGTCAGGCAGAGCAGGAGCCAGAGCCCTCTCCTGGCCAGCTGTGTGGCCTTGGCACCTGGTACCATCTCTCAACCCAAGGCCAGTGCACTTTAGAGTAGGAGTAGAGTCGCTTCATGGGTTTATATAAATGCAAAGCAATCTCAGACCTGCCCTCTGGCTCTCAGCTTTGTCTGCCATTCTTGCTGTCAGCCCTTTCTGCTTTACCGAGAGAGGCCATTTACTCCTTCTGAATGTCCAAGTCTAGCCAGCTACTGTGTGCCCGCCATCTTTTCCCTCTCCTCCGCCCACCATCTAACGCCAGCTCCTCTTCCTGGGATACCCACCTGGGGGGTGGAGTCCTGGAGAGGGAAGGCTTGGTGGGCCACGCTGAGGAGAGAGAACAAGACTCAGGAGCCATCTGTGAGTAGGTGGCGCCCACATGAGGACTGCGTTTGACTTCATGTGAGGGAGGCCAGCCTAATCATGGCTTCGGTGGGCATTTTTGTTTTGTCTTTGAGACAGGGTCTTTCTATGTAGTTCAGACTGGTCTTGAACTCAGTATGTAACCCAGGCGACCTCAAACTCACCATGAACCTCCTGCATTAGTCTTCCGAGTGCTGGAACAACAGGCAAGCGCCACCCCACCTGGTGATGGGGCAATATTTTCTCACTAATGAAAATGTGGTACCTGCTCCTTGATGCCATCAGCAGTCGGGCTCCTTTCAGCTCCTGAATCTGCCATCCCTGGCCTGGGGCTCTCAACCTCACCCTTGTCACCTTGTATTCACAAGAAGACTGCACCATCCTCTGCCCTGTGGCTATGGCGTAGGTGGAAAGAAGCAGAGAAGGCAGGAGCTGGCTTCCCTACCCAGCAGCTTCTTCTTAGAGCCATCTGTGGTCAGACTTGCATGTTGTGACTGTCTCTGGTTGCAGAGTGGGCTGAGAAATGTGCTATATTTTCTTTCCATACCTTAACATCTCTGAATTTTAGGTGTGCTGTGCCATCAGTGTCAAAGTTGAAATTTTTTTAATTATAGAGAATTTTCCACATTCGAAAAAGGTAGAATAGTATAATGCACCTCCATGTGTCCATCACCCAATTTTCTTAAATATTGACCCAGGGAAGCCAGCGCTGTCTCATCTATCCTCCATCCACTCCGGCTTTGATCGTCTTAGTGTACATCAGTTCATCTATGAATCCTGCAGGAAGTTCAGTGGCATCTCAGACCCAGAGTGTTACCTGGCGTTCTGAGCTGGACATGTAGCCTCCACTGCTGTTCCAGGGTTCTGGCTCAGGAAAGGAGCGGAGCCACTGGTTGCTTGCTTGCCGTGGCCAACACCAAAGCCTAGGACTTTGGTAGAAGAGAGCTGAGAGCAGCCATAGTCCAGGCAAAGAAACTAAAATAGGGCCATCACAGAGGGAGGAGGAACCATAGAAAACATACCTTGGAGCCAGTGTTGTATGGCCCCCAGATTTTTTGGCACCAGAGACTAGTTTCCCTAAAGACAATTACTCCATGGACTAGGGATGGGGCTATGCTTTGGGGATGATTGCAGTGTGTTACATTTATTGTGTACTCTATTTCTATTATTATTATTATTACATTGGAATATATAATGAAATAATCATACAATTCACCATGAGCTTGTTTTCCTGTAACTGCATGGTCCTATCTGGGGGCGATGGGAGTCAGTGACATCTGCAGTGTTTCTTGTGTCCAGTCTACTCTATAATCTTTTTTGGTTGCTATCACTGCAGAGAACCCTGCTTCACAAAGATAGGATGTTGGAAATAGAAGCAGGCTTTTTGGTGCTTTTGTGGCAATCTCAGGATACTCTTCCTTTACTTTAATTCAGAACATATGGAGATTTGAAATTGTCTCAAACATGTTTTGTTTTGTTTTGTTTTGTTTTGTTTTTGGTACCAGAGATTGAACTCAGGCCCTTGTGCTTGTGAGGCAGGTGGTGGAACCACTGAGCCAAATCCTTGGCCCTTCAAACATACTTTTAAAGCCACTGTCATTTGCAATCTCAAGAAGTTGATCTTCTAGCACAAAGTCAACTTACCTAGTTTATTCATGAATGGGTTGCAGATCCCCTCTTCCCCAGGGTCTTTTGTGGCTGGAAAAACTGAGTTAAGGGGTTGTATTTTAATGTGGCTGGTAACTTTAATTACATCCTACAAAACTTTGTTAAGTTCAGGTGATGTTTTGGGGCTAGCTGGCATTTCTCTGTGAACAACACAGTGCATAGACTCACATTCAGTAGCAACCTCTTTAACCTGAGAAGTGAAATCAGAAAACCATCCAGTCATGGCAGCTACTCCATCTGTCCAAATAACAACACAAAATGACCAATTTGGTTTTCCTGCTATGTAATCATTCAAAAACTTAAATAGTTCTACAGCTGTGGTGTTGGTTGACAACTGAAGGGCGCATCACAACATATCATGCACATCCTGCTGGAAATTGTATTGCACAAAAGCAAGCATTGTTGCTGTATTGTCCCATGCATAGACTTGTCAACCCAGATTTCATACCACTGTGACTAATTAAGCCTGTTTAGCAGTTGTGCCTCAATATCCACAACTATTTCATTAATTTACCTACTTGTAAAATAGGAAAATGTGCCACCTTTTGAAATACAGCCTCTCCTAAAAGCTCACGCACATGTCCTCAGCAGCAGGCAGGATCATTTCTTCACCAACAGTGATGGGCTTCTTAGCTTTAGTGATACAGTTAGCTGCTAAGAATGATGCCCTCAGTGCAGACACATTTCATGATGTGGTAACCATCAATAATTGCTTCTATTCTTTGTGTTCACATATTTTTTCTTTTGAAAAACTCCAAAGGCTGGTCTTTTAATGCAGGGTGCTTGGTCTCCATGTAGCAAAGCAGGTTTAAAGGTTTCATGGCTTTGTTGGAAGCTAGTGACCACATTTTATACAAAGTAGGCTCGGAAAATGTGAATCACCTGTTACAATGAACCTTTACTATAAATAGGACTCTTGGTATTTTCTTTTAAGTGCAGCTTTCTTTTTGTTGGTAGTCTTCTGCTGTCTCATTATTGGGCCTTTCCCCCTTTTCAAAGAAGCTCTCCAGTGACTTTTGTTTTTTTCATTAGGATCAGCTTGTGGGCTTATAAAACTGTGACTGAGGCAAATGTGCAGTGTAGGAAAGAGGCACAGAGAGATGTGGTAAATAAAATAATGGATAGGTCATGTGCAGACTAAAATATGTGTTGGATTCTGACTTAAAACCTGATACCAGATGCAGGTATACAATTGAAGAACACCACTAACTTGCCACTGTAACACCTGCAACCAGATACAGCTTAATCTTCACTTGCTAGTCACTGATAGGGTTTTGCTGTGAGTGAAAATATGATTTATTATGGTCTGTGCACAGTCAAATTTCTCTGATAATGTTAATATTTATTTGCAGCTGCTCCCTGGTGCTAGCATCACTGCCTCAGCTTCACCTCAGATTATCAGGCATTAGATCCTCGTAATAAGTACACAACCTAGATTCCTCTCATGCACAGCTCACAGTAGGGTTGTACTCCTATGAGAATCTAATGCCATTGCATTAGATGTAATGGGAGATGGAGTGCAGGTGGTAATGTGATCTATGGGGAGTGGCTATAAATACAGATGAAGCTTTGCTCACACCTGCTGCTCACCTCCTGCTGCACAGCCTGGCTTCTAACAGACCACAGACTGGTATCAATCCATGGCCCAAGGCTGGAGGCCCTTGATGAACTGGTTCAGGGAAATAAGGATAGCAGCATGACAGTGGCCACCAGGCAGGGTCATTGGCAACCACTGCCCCACACCATCCATTTTTGAGATGATCTCTTGACATGTAGTGTGGCAGGACGTATGTCCCAGGAGCTTCCCCAAACATCTATGAAGCATGTCAGGCTTCAGACCCAATGTGGATACCAGCTGACAGAAACCTAGGGACAAAGCTCCCATTTCCCTAGGGCTGTATGCACCAAGCCAGTTTCTTCAAACTGCCAGGAGGAGCAGCTTGCCTTGAGGTTTGTCAGGTGGGCAAAGGAGACGAGGACTTGCCCCTCCACAGAGAGTTCCACTGCAGACCCAGCCCAGGTGACTCCAGCCTGTGTAAGGGAGCAGGGCAAGGCAGGCTCACACTAGGGTACACATGGACAGACTGCATTTGAGCAGGGAGGGAGGTGCCTCGTCCTGGGGCTGCAGGTGACTGGCCTTGTTGCTGCCTTTCAGGTGGACCAGAGGGTACTCCAGGACCTCCTCTCGGAAAAGCTGCCCCGGCTGATGGCCCACCTGGGGCAGCACCATGTGAACCTCTCCCTAATCACTTTCAACTGGTTCCTCGTGGTCTTTGCAGACAGTCTCATCAGTGACATTCTCCTGCGGGTCTGGGATGCATTCCTGTATGAGGGAGCAAAGGTAGGTTGCGGCCCTCACCAGTCCCTCACCGCTCTGGGTATTGGTCCGACCCCTGGAGAGCAGGAAGATAGTGTTCGTCTGCAGAGCTATTGGGGATGTCTGATGGCACGCTTTGTAAACTGAAAATTGGCTGCACACCTGAGGCCTCTGAAGATAGGCCCTGGGGTTGGAGGACCTGGACTGGCATCCACTGCCCACATCACTCAAGCCCCTCCTTCTCTCCCTCCTCTTTGGACTAAGTCCTGCCTTGGGAGGCTGGTGCTTAGGTCTAGTCAGGTTCCATCATCAAAGCCCCATGGAAAGAACGTTTGAACCCCACTGGGTCCAACAGAACCTTGCCTCACCTCACCTCCCCATGGGAGAAGCCCAGAGTTAGAGCTGGGACTCAGCCTAATCCCCTTGCTTTTAAGCTGTGCCCCCTTTAGGGCCTTCAGCTTCCCCCCAGCTCCCCTCCCCAATATGTCTGCCTTCAGTGGCCCCAGGCCTTGCTGCCTGCCCCCTCCCCACTGTGTCCTGCCTGAGCCCCTGCCATGCCCATGCAGGTGGTTTTCCGCTATGCCCTGGCCATTTTCAAGTACAATGAGGAACCAATCCTGCAGCTGCAAGACAGCCTGGAGATCTATCAGTACCTGCGCTTCTTCACCAAGACCATTTGTGACAGTCGGTGAGCCCCACCCCTGTCCCTGCCCCAGCTGGCTGGGACCTAGGAGACCCCAGTAGTGACTGATTTTCCAGGCATTTTCAATTTCCTGCCATCATCCCCTGCCCTGATACTCCTGGCCTGGAAGCTGGACTGAGTTCCTAGAACAAACCCTGTGATACTTTTACCCTCCTAGGGTCTTCTGCTTATAATGCCTCCTTACCACCTCCTCCACCATCACCATCGTTGCCTGATTAGCACAAGTCACTTTTCAAAACCCGGCTCCCATGTCACCTCCAGGAAGCCTTCCCTGACCAGCCCGTCCCCCTGGGCTAGGTGCCCTTGTGAGCTTCCTCCTTCCTTGGCACACACTTCCCTGGGTGGAAATGGTCTTAGTTGTTTCTTCCCTGAGCATGAGGCCCAGGGGCGAGGCTCAGCTCGGCCCCACAGTGGACAGTTGTCAGGAAAGGTAGGCCTGACAAGACTCTGTGTTCTGGGCTCTGTGCCCTCTTCCAGGAAGCTGATGAACATCGCCTTCAACGACATGAACCCCTTTCCCATGAAACAGCTGCAGCAGCTGCGGGCGGCCCACCGGGAGCGGCTGGAGGCTGAGCTGCGGGAACTGGAGTTGCTAAAGGCCGAATACCTGGAGAAGCAGGCATCCCGGGGCAACACAAGGCCTGAAGGTGGTGCCAGTGAGGATGAAGGGGAGGGTGATGCCTGACCTGGCTGCTCCCCTCCCCAAGGGTCCCTCACCCTTGGAGGTTGGCATGGACCACATCTCCATGTGGCCTGGATGCGTCTCCTCTCCCTGGGCCTCGGTCTCCCCAGCAGGACATTGCAGTGGAGACCTTGGTTGGGTTACCTCTCAAAGGGCACTGAGTAAGGGATGCCACCCTGCCTCCCTCCCCACAGAGCACTGGAGTGTTTTCTAACTTACATCCGTATAAAGCAGTGTCAGTGCTAGAAATCGCTCACCAGCTTTGGGACTTAAATGGTCCTCAGTTATCAGCAGTTCCTGGGAGGAGCTGGTGCCAGGGTGTGCCACCACAGGGGCCTTCCTGCTCGGGCCTCTGGCTCCCATTCTAGGTATGTGCAGGGCCAGTCTCCTCCTGGCTTCCCTGGAGATGGGTCCCAGGAGTTCAGGGTCACAGCTCCCTTCCAGGCTGACTAAGTCTGTGTCCAGACTGCGCCTGTGTACCAGGGCATCTCCTTCCTTGTGCTCACAGCCCATCTTGGGGAGCTCCCACAGAAAACCCCTCCCTGCCACTGCAAGGAACATAAAGTGGTGGTCAGACAAGGAGCCCCAGGTCAGGTGCCCCACTTCTGACCCGGCACTGGCCGGAGCAAGCAGGGTCAGCTCCCTTCTGCAAATCAGGCAGCCGGGAGGGGGCACTGGAAGCGGCTAGCGCTGCAGCCCAAGACAGGGCTGAGCTCAGGGCTTTGCGACCGGCCCCTCATCCCCACCGCAGGCAGGGCTGCACTTCTCAGTAAACATCAGGGGCAGTCTGAGCCAGGCTCTCTTGGGCGTGATGCATGGGGTGGGGACTCCCATGGAACCCCCCTCAACACTGCCCTCCATCCTCCCGGCCTTGATCTGAGACTCCTGGCAGTGGGTAGGGGAACGCCCATCACCAGGGACCAGGCACAGACCCTTTGGCAGCCTCTCCTGTCACCCAGTGGGCATGGACTTGAGAGGTGGTGCCCCCGTACTGCACAGCCGAGAGGATGCTTGGAGTTCCTTTCCCTCCCACACCTCCACGCAGACCTGGAGCCAAGGCTTCCCTGTGAATGCCCTGAACCCACCTCTACTTTGTGCTAAACTTCTGCGCCTGCCCCGGCCTTTTCATGGCCAGTTTCCACGAAGTTTCATGGTGGAAGGAGAGTGGTTGCACCCAGTGAGTTAGAGACGAGCCCTGAGGTCAGCCAGCCTCATGGGGCACACGGGACAGTGAAAGGAGTTGATGCTATCCCAGAACAGGGTGACAAGCATCCAACAGCAGTGAGCTGCTTCCTAGGTAGGCCCAGGCCGTCCCTCTGACTCCAGCCTGAAATTCACATCCCTCTCTAGCAAAAGCAAAAACCTTGAGCCAGATGCAGTGGTGCACACGTGTAATCCTGGTTACTTGACAGGCTGAGGCAGAAGAAGCTCAAGTTCAAGGTCAGCCTGGGCAGTACGGAGAGACACTCTCACAAAGCAGCTCAGGACTGCTGGATTAAGGCACCCTTCTCGGCGTCCTCCCCAGCCCCTCCCACCTCTTTCCTCTCCTTCCTGCCTGTCCTCCATCCTTCCCTCTTTTCCCACTATCTCCCTTCCTTCTCTTTCCTTTCTCCCCTCTTCCTCCGCGCTCCTCTGGCTCCTGCCTGGCTACACCTTAGAATCCCGGGTAGCTTTGTATTTGATTTTTTTTATTGGTGTTGGGCCCCGTGCTCGCGGGCACTCTGACATCCTGGCAGGACAGCGGGGACTAACTGCCTCCTCCAGGCCTGAAGCGGGGAGCTGGCGATGAGAACGACCCATCCCACAGCCCCTGCCTCTCACCAGCTCAAGCTAAGGTGACTGACAGGAGACAAGACAGAGAAATTAACCTGTGAGAGTCACAGCCATACCTGGCAGAACCAAGTTTGAGGGGAGAGGCTCCAAGCTCACTGCGCTTTCTCAAGAACCTGGACACCTCCCAGGCGGAGAGGGTCTGGCACCTCTTCCCAGGGGAAAGGGCTGCCCAGCCTGTGGCCTCTTTTGGGCACACTCAAGGGACTAGCTGTACGCAAAGGAAAATGGAGGAAGAAAGACCCAATTTGTTGCCTCAGGCTGGAATTGGAGCTCTACTGCCTTCATCAGATGAACAAGGGGAGTGGGACGCCATCTTTCAGCAAGGATGTGGCAGGGACAGGGGCCCCCACCTCAGCTCCTGCTGCTCCCAGGGAGTGTGCCCCCCCCCAGGGTGTCTGGGGCCCACCGTGGTGTCAGGTTGCTGCCCCACACCACAGCTGTCTCCCCTTCCCCAGGGGCTGCTGCCTTTCAGGCTGGAGGATCTGATCCCCTGTAGCCCCATCTTCCTATCTAGGGGATGGGCCTTGCGCCCCAACCATGCCCCCACTGGACCCAGAACTGGGTGCAGGTGTATTCTATAGGGGAGATACAGAAAGGGTACCACGTCAGAATAAAGAAAAAAAGAAAGGTCCTGGAGGACTCTGGAAGATTCCACACAACCCCTAAAGTGGGAAGCACACACTGGCTTCCATCCCCCAAACAGACCCCCCCACCCATGCTGTCTGCTGGTTCCTTTCTAGTTCCCTGACCATGGACACGAGGCTGCACTGTACAGAGAGTGAGGAAGACACATATGCACATGCACACACGCGCGCATGCCTGTTCTGGCCCCAAACCAGTCGAGGCCATGCTGAGGCTCATGTCTGGGCAAGGAGAGAAGGCCACTGGAGAGTGTGGCCGGTTTGGAGCCAGACATGCTGTGTCTCACTGGGCCCTGAACAGCTCAGGGACAAGGACCCACTGGGGCCATAGTTTCCCCATGGGCAGAGGTGCCCTTCCACATTTGGACCAAGACTAGGGAGAGGGAAGTGACCGAAAAGCAACCTCCATGCATACATACACCTCTCCACGGTGACCTCAGGGAGCGTCCTGGGTGGTGTCTGTGCCTTAGGGGTCCATATGCCCACAGTGCCCGGAGGCCCTTGTCACACCAGCTTTCCCCAAACAGTACTGGCCACAGCACAAGCTGGGGAGGTTGTGCATGCAAGGAGGGAGCCACAGGGCATCTGGGGCCCTGGGCCTCACTTAGACGGGCAGATGATGGTGTGGCTGGTGTAGCAGAGGCTCAGGCCAAGCCCCAGATGCCTTGGCCTGAGAGAGGTTCTGGCACCTCCCACCTGACCCAGGTGTAACTCAAGTAAAAACAGTGTTCCACCAAGAGGGAAAGGAATCCCCACCTCACTCCAGCTGCGTCCATACTCTTGTTTTGAAATTGCAAATGTCCAACTCTTGCATGCTGGAACCCAGGTGTACACTGGCTACCTTCCTGTAGTCCAGCTGGCTCAGTGCTCAAGGTGGAAGGGAGGGCCATGCTGGACACTGGGCTTGAACAGGCAGGGGACCCCTTCAGCTCTGGGCAGGGGAATGGCCCAGGGAACTAAATTCAAAGCCTGAGTTGAAGGATTTGGCCCTGGCAGCTCCAAGATCAAGAGCCCCCAAATACTCAGCTAATCTGAATCTATGTTCCTATCCATGAAAGGGAGGTAACAATAATAGCTCAACAAAAGGTTTCATAGGATCAAATGTAACATATGTAAGTAGTACACAGTATTTGTTTGTTTGTTGAGACTGACCTGAAACTCACTGCGTCGTAGCCCAGGCTGGTCCCAAACTCACAGTGATCCTCCTGCCTCAGCCTTCTGAGTGCTGGGATTACAGACAGGCGCCACCACGCCCGGCCATACACAGTATTCTTAATGATCCAACCACAGATTGGGTGCCCACCACGTTCCAGGCACTGTTCTAGGCCCTCACAGATACTCCACTCACTGCACAAACCAAGGGTGATGGGGTGGCTATGAGCTTGAGCTTAGGAGCTGCTCTGCCTAGGGCTGAATTACTACTAGCTGTGTACTTAACTTCCTTATATGTAAAATTGATGAGTAATAACATCAACCTCCCAGCATGTGCGTCAGCGAAGGGAAGTAAGACACAGAAGGTGCTCAGAACGAAGCCTGGCTCAGTTGGTGTTAGGTGGAGGTGCTAAATCAAGGTTTCCCATTCCCCACACTACCAAGCCTAGGCTCGGAGACCAGGCAGTAGCGCCCCCTCCTGGGTGCCAGGAGAAGGAAAAGAGTCCTCCCGCCGCTCAGCAGCCTTCGCGACTCCTTTCCTCCATGGACCTGGGAAACCCAAGTGGCCCATCCTGATCTCCCAGATGCGAGGCGCGATGCCCCAGCGGATCTCCGCACGCATGGCACCTGCCGGGATCTTTGATCCAGTCCTCAGCGTTTGAGGAAGACGCGGTTGCCGTCTCCATTTCACCAAGAAAACTAAGGCTCTGAGAAGTCGAGTCCCTTGTCCCATTACACGCACGGAGGGTACCGCGGGACGTGAAGCTGGGTGGGCTTCAAGGTCCCAGGGTCTGCTCGGTCTCCGAAAAGCCACCGCCACAAATCAGTGCGGCATGCGGGCCCCGACATCGGCCCCCGGGCCAGGAGTGCGCACCCGGTGGAGGGAGTGAGGTCCCTGGAGGGCGCGGGGGGGCGGGGCCTGGCCCTACATCCCCGC